TGTCCGTAAAGACAAATTACATGAAAATTACACGTTTTTGTTTTTCGCTTCATTTATCTAGGGCCTGTTGTCATTCATCATCTGATCATTTTCCAATTCAAACTTTTCTATTAGCTCAACTTCTTTACTTCTCTCAGGTCACCCTGCCCCACCTTTTCAAGCTGAAGAAGTGATGTTGCATAACCACTGATGACACCTTGCATAAACATGTAATTTTCCCCCCCTTAAGAAGTAAACTTAGGAAACTTGCTGTCTGACATCACATCATGAAAACGAGTTCTAAAACTCGCTGCACTCTCACCAAACCACAGTACTGTTCTTTCTACACGTTATTGTATTGAGCAACGGCTTCCTCTTTAAGCAACGCTGGACCACAGATGACGAGATCAGTTCTTGATATCTGCTGAGCCTTCTTACAATTAACAGTCACTTTATTTGTTGCCCTAAAGAATACAAGTATCTGCACCTGGCATGGCCACACTTGGTTGTCAGGCTTCTTCAAATGAAACCACTTAGATTTTACAGTGTTTGCCTGCCCAGTGCCAAGACAATAAAGAAAAATGAGCAAATAGTTATGCCTAATTTATCCAACCCAGGTTGTATCCTTTACAAAATTCTCAACTGCATGATGCTCAGCTTGGATGACACTGTACATCTGCCAAATGCTGATTGGTCAACTAGTCGGCCAGAGCAACAGCGGACTTCACCGGGAACGGAAGAACATTTTTTAGAAGTAGGCTGCAAACAAACTCACTTGCAGATGACTTTATCATGTGTCCTGCCATTGCGCCTCAAGGGCTGTTCAAACAGACCCGTATTATAAATGCTCCCAAAAGCCCGACGTCTCATTTTAGCGTTCCACACATATTCAACACACTAAACTAATGCTTTTGCGTTTTTTCATCCTGCTTAGCCCCATTGATTCAGCACTTTTGTGGACGCACAGAAACAACGCTGATATCGATTCTCTCATCTGAATGTGTGAAACTGCAAAGAACTAACAGTGAGCAGCACTTGAGTTTCCTGCAGGCCAGTCGGGTTTCTCTCAGCACTATTAATTAAAACATCCTTGTGTTTTATGTTTACCTATATAGCATTACAGCAGTGACAGAGAAGCCCTAACTCCCTGTCACGTCTCTGGTGAAACTTTTACAAAAAGGTGATATTGAATGTTTTGTCTCTAGTGGAATCTCACCAGGGAAAGGCTTGTGTTACAAATTCATAAAAGACGTGGCCTGAATATGAATATCGCCCTATAGATACCCAAAAGAGATCATATCTGAATTCTGAGCAACTTAGGCCACAGGCTGCTCACAGTGCTTAGTAGCTGTACGTACTCTTACACGGTGGTTTTGAACTGAGGATTTATGAGGGGTTTGGAGGCGACCCAGATCTTTAATGTCAAAATGCCGGTGAACCTAGCTTTCTGCTGTCTCATGTACAATCTTCAGAGTGACCTCTGCCTCCTTCACTCAATCAAGTCCTCTGATACACTACATTGGAAGGAATCTGATTAAAAATTGGCAACTTGCTGTGTGGATTCTAAAAACCAGATCTGTACATTTGCATGCAGCCATGCTCTCTGCTTTTCTAAGTGCATTACATTCCTATTAAAAACAGTCTGTGGCCCAGCTGCTCCTTTACAAAAGACACTTTCACTCTGAATGCCCCATTTTTGGAAGGTAATGTAATTTAGATTCTCCTCTGAGGTTGATACGTTTCTGGCTGGGGAAAGAAAATTACAAAGAGCAGAGAAACGGCCCATTTTATAGTCTAACTGAAATCTATTGCTCAATATAGGTCGGTCTACAGAATGAGGAGGTTAAAGACCACAAAACCTTTGTGGCAGAGCATTCCCAGTCTTTATTGTTTCACTGCCTGTCTTCTAAACTGCCAAATAAAGTGGAAAGAAATTCTGAAAACGACTTTATAAAACACACTGACATGCTAACTCTGTTCTTTTTGCAGCCGATATGAATTGTATTCTTTTTGCTGAAACATGGGTTGCTGTAAGGACTTCGCTTACTGAAGCTCCACTTTTATATACGGTCCAGTCTAAAAATAAAACTCATCTTAGTCATTCTGGCTTGTAGGAGTGAGTCACTGCATCCTGCCCCTCTGACAGCTTCCTTTTTTTTCCCAATCCAACAAACTCTATCTCAGCATCCATCTATGAAGGCTCTGATTGCACCGAGCAAAACAGAAACTGCACTGTTCTCCCTGCACACTCACAGATTTGAGGCACCTTAATTGAGATCTGCCTCCCTGCAGCTGAGCTGACCAAAGCAATTTCATGCAGCGGGCAATAAAAGATGTGGGCTGAACTGGTGCCTTAATAAAACTGTGAGTAAAAGCTTCACTACAATAAATAAATAAATAAATAAAATCTCAAGATTTTGCTGTGATGGAACGTGGGTTTTCACTTTCTGCAGCATTTCCCTGCTGCACTATTTCCTGACTGTGGGCTGGACATGTTTGTTGATGGGTGATGTATAGCTGCATGGTAGTGCTGTGGGATATTGCAGGTCCAATACCAGGTAAATACAGGGCCAGTATTGCCAATGCCAATACTTTTACTCTCTCATGGCAGGTTTTGTATGGGTGAGCAGTGTCTCATGACTTATGGAATAAGTCCATTGAACACATTTTAATGATCACTAAATCAATGTGATTTTTACTTTCCACAATAAATGCCAAAACACCTTTCAGCTTTTCATATATTTTGAAACAGTTTTTAACACCTTAAATTTTAATCTATTTCTCCTTAAAGCACTTAATAAATCAATAAATCTGAAGCTAGTAGCACAGTATAGATCCTATCACTAGTATCGATCAGACACTTTTGGTATCGATAGCCTCGTTATTTGGATCGATCCTCCCAGATCTTCTGTACAGGCTCCACAGGCATAGAGACGACAGGAAAATGAAAAAAAGTTTTTGAGTAGCGCTCAAAATAGAGACAAAAACAGCGTCTTGTGCTTCAGCAGGAAGCTTTACACTGTGACGCCCACGAGGGACTCGGAGTACAGCGTTTATTTACCTGGTGTAGAAATGTAACCGGGCGAGCGGGTCTGAGACCGCAGCGTAGGGTGTGAACACTTCCCACGAGTCCAGTCGCAACTTTGCACACCGCCCGCACCGAAGCCATCGTCAGCCGGTAACCGTTTTTAGCCGCCTCGCTGGGGCATGCCGGGAGGAGAGAGGTCCAGGACGAGTACCTCAGAGCTCAGTGTTTCACTTTAAAACGGGCTGCTGTCTGTGCGTGTAGCAACAGACAGGAGGATCGCTACGGGACCCGGAGGAGGAGGAGGAGGAAGAGAGCAGGCTGAGCTGCATACCATTTCCTCCTGACTACACCCGCGCGCTCTCTGCCACACTCCGCTTCCTTTGTGCCCCACCCCTCCTCTTTCTTTCTGTTGGGTCTGTTTTGCATGAAACAGCAAGTGGGAAGCATATGCGCCTGCCAGGCTCACGGGACTGTAAGCCGACATCCCAAACATCACCCCCTCTCCTCTCACGAATCATCACGAGTTGGTCTGATCGCTAAAATAACAAATTTATATGAGGCTTATTAGGGCTGGAGCCGTTGTAACGTTACACTTTGAAGTCTTCATAACTTCAAAGGGTGAACTTGGCCAAGAGCTCCACTTTAAGCATGCCACCCACAAATCGATTTCCTCTGATCCCACATTAAAATAGGCCCTTAGAGATAAAGCGAACTTTCTAATCACGGTGTTACATATGAGCAAGGACTGCATTTCAGCTGTCAGCCAACAGGGGGAGCACTTACACACAAATATGTGTCACTGACATAGAGGTCAATGATGCGCAATTCTTTGTTCTTTCAAATACAAAGATGGATAATGATAAAGATTCAGGCCTCAGTCTGCTGAAGCATTTAAAGACAGCTCTTTAAATGTTTGGCTCTGTATGCAAGCTTCTTTCTGCCCCTGTGGGGGAAAAAAGCTATCTGTAAGTCAAAGTGTATGCTTATTATTTTATTAATTTACATGTAATAAGTCCAAAATGTTTACTTGTACAGAAATTAGAATCAACTAGTCAAAATGTTGCGACAATAACTTCAAATCGATTGCTCTGGGCAAACAATTTGAGTCTGTGTCTGTGAGTGTAGATATCCCTGATATGGACAGTGTTTGATATGGAACTATTAGGTATGGTGTGATATAAACTTGTGCAAAGAAGCTCCAGTAAAGTTAATAAATCAATAAAAATAATAGATTGAGTGTTGTGCAGAGAGGTACCCTGCTGTCCAGTGAGGTTGGGCTCATAGACCATAATCTACTGCAGTGCAGACAGTAGGAAGCTGTGCACACAATGAAAAATGTTCACACTGCGTTCTGTGTTTCATCCCCAGAGCGAAGTATGTGCTACGGCTGGTGTATTGTGTCACAGAAAATGCGAGCATAAACGAGACAAATGGTCTTGAAAGCAGACAGGTCAGATAAATCTGTTATGAACACTCCCATCCGGTGATTTATAATACTCCAGTCAGCCACAACATTAAAAGCACTGACAGGTGAAGCGGCAATGTAAAAAAAAATTGAGAAACCTTGGGCCCTGGCATTCGTGGTGGATAATTCTGCAGCATTCCACCACGATGCGCGACTGTTTAGAGAACAGGTTCAGAGACCCTGAGGCGAAACACAATGGATGAAACAGCCTTCGAGTTCTCAGATCTGGAACAGGCCCCACCAACAGACACCTCACACTGCAGCCCACAGGAACTGGAAACATCCCAGTGCTACACACTTCAGCACAGCCCTGTAGGTCTCGCTTTCCATGCCTTGAAGAATCTGAACTTTTTTTCAGGGGTGGAATACACTAAGTTAGGGGAAAGCTGTAATAAATGCTGAAGGTAATGGAACAATGGAACATTACTGTCATTAATCAACACTGAGTTTAAAATATTTACCTCCACTGTGTATGCATTTAATTTTTCTAAAGTACCCCACACACTGGACCAAATGCCAGTCTGGAAAAATGCACTTATATTAGCCTGTTCATTAATATTTAAGTATACCATAGTTAAGGCAAACACTTGATCAGCACAGTGTGAGCTGTCTTTTTAACCTGCTGGCCTTGAAGCGTGACAACAGTGACTTTCTTTGAGCGCACACTTGAAAATTATGTTCTGCACATTGTCGCGTCTTCTTCTCTACTAGATTTATGAAGCATTTTATCAAACAGTAACACAATGGACCCTCTTCTATACCAAGAGGGGGGTAAAAGCCACTCTTCATTTGTCAGAGATTCTTTCTTCATGCAATCTGCTTTAGTCCACAGTGGTGAGTCTTTAAAGACTGGTGAGAGGCATCAATACTCCCAGAGAGAAGATGCATGACGGAAAGGCTAGATGAAATCGATATGCTCCTGTGGCCACTGAGGCTGTTTTACTGACAGATTACTTTGATTTAAATGTACATTTGTCCATGGTTTTGCAGACAAACTGCAAGGAATTGTTGCCTTATTAGCACACACAGTGAAATTGAATACTGTTTACGGTGAAGTTTTCTGCTTAGTTGTTGTTCTTCTGGTCATCTGTTACCCGTCACCTGCTGCTATATTTATGCTCTCGTTTTGGCCACACGCTGGTGGATTAAGACTGCAGCAGGGCTGAATGAAGTTATTCAGGGGAAATGTGCCAGGTTTCATTTTCTAATGAGTTGGCAAATGTGCTTCGGGCCATTGAAAGAAGCTTCACTTTAATAACAAAATCTGCTTGCACAGAGAATTATATAGTAGTTAATTATTTAATAGCGAGGTGATGCATGGAGTGATTCCATATCTGTGATGACAAAATGTTGAAAGTCCAAGTGATCGCCAAGCGGGAATTAACACATTGTAATTTATGACTTTCATTTTATCTTCATTTAATATTTGAATGCCCTTCTAAACTATGAGCTGTTGTCTCCTTAAAGCATTTTTCCGCTATGAAGAATGATGAAAGAAGAGTGAGGATATTTTAACAGCAAGGCTATAAACTGGACAGATTATATCTCTCAGCTGGCCTGGGAACGCCTTGGTGTTCCCCCAGACAAGCTGGAGGAGGTGGCTGGGGAGAGGGAGGTCTGGGCTTCTCTGCTTGGGCTCGTGCCCCCGCAACACGGCCCTGGATAGGTGGAATATCAGGACTGGTGTACTCCTCAGAAGGTTTGTATCTTATGGATACTTGGCACCATCTTGTGGACGCTAAAAGGAACATAATTTCTGCAAAATGAGACTGTCTTTGTGACTGTAAGATAGTCTGTTGACATCACTTTCACACATTGTGTGCATTCTGAGCTTGTGACAGATTCAGAGTTTAAACAATGACTCCAAAATGAGTCCAAAATAAACAGTTGTGTCAGTTTAAGTATTTTAATATCTGTAGAAAATGTAGAGGATGTGGATGGGGAGGTTTTTGTATACCTCTCTTTTATACTTTAGCTGAAGTGTGTGCATCACTCGTGTAATTCCTGCAACATTTGACATTTATGAAACGTGTGACTCTCCATAAACAGTGTGGCGGTGGTCTGATGATTTAGGAGCAAAGTGTGTGACAGTCAGTGCTCCTTTGTGTTTCTCGCTCTTGAAGTTTTTTTTGCAGCTTTGCTGAGATCAAGTTTCCACAGAGGATTTTAAAGTGCTGTGCACTGCCCCCTTAACCTTCAGTGAATCTGCAATTTAACACCAAGGAAATCGTTCTTAGCTTAGAGTAACTACTATATTATATAACATACTATAAGAATAGAATGTTTCCCATCCTCACAGTCAGCACTGATATGGTGGGAAGCTTGTTTCTAAAAGATGAAGTGAATGTTTGCAAGCTGTTTACTTAAAATGTTATTATCATTATTATCATTATTATTATTATTATTATTATTAGTACACTTAATTATGTTATCATTATTATAATCAAGGTAGTCATGTGAATATGACTATTTTTATCAGCTACCTAAAACATCTGTTCTGATGATCATTAAAAATAATGACTCAAAAGTAATATATCAACAACATATTCAACAATCTCTTGTACCAGATTATCAAAATAAGCTACAGTTGTCCTTTGACAACCGTTTCAAACATTAGCCCTGCAGTTACTAGAGCCTAAACTAGTATCTGGCAGTTTGTAGTCACATTATGTGACATTATGTGTTGTGCCTTTAAAACCTAAAATAAAAAGGTTGGTTTCCTGAATAAAAATAGTGGGGTCCTCTGTGAGCCTCCACTATTTTTTGGAAAGAGTCCTGTGAATAAAGGGAAAAAGGACTGAGCCATTTGTTAAACACAGCAGCTGAGTGGAGTTTCCAGCTCCAGCTGCTGTTAAAACTGAAGAACTACAGATGAAGCATCAGACAACGCACCATGTTGCCGGGTCTATGTGCTTTGGTCTGTTTGCTTTAACAACAACAAACGTGGATGTGGAAGTTCTTTGCGTGATTTACTAACAGTGAGCTAATCTATACAGATATACACTATATAGTGCTCTTTCTCTCTCCAAGAGACCAAGTTGCATACGTCAGTTTTTTTCATCTGTAGGCCAACTGTTTTGCCTCAGTCTGTGCTGCATGCAGAATTCCAACACAGTTGAATTCTGCATCCATAAGTTTAAAAATCATAATGACAGCTGAATTTAATTCAGCTGAATCAGTTTGTGGGTGCATCAAATCACTGTGCCAGCTGCTATTTCACAGCGTAAAGAAAATGCAAAGCCCCTGACGCCCTGTGACGAATACAGAAGAAGAAATTCATAATCCCACTTGTTACTGCTGTATTGGCAGGAAAAACATTTTAATACAAAATCACAAAACAACACGAAAAGACGAACCCGGAACTCCAATAGACAACAAAGAAAACAGAAAAAAATACAATTTTTTGTTGGAAATGTGTATGGAAGAACTGGTTAAGCGAGTGGTGAAAAAATCAGTCGCAGTCATGAAGAAGTTGTAGCCATCTACACGAGGCTTACCAACAAGATCTGGGCTGAAATCACCAGTAGGCGGTAGGTGAAGTGTCTTGCCCAAGGACACAACGACCAAGACAGACAGAGCTGGAGATTGAACCAGCAACCTTACGGTTACAAGTTTTTCCTTCCCACTGTCGCCAAAGTGCTTGCTCATAGGGGATCATTTGATTGTTGTGTTTTTGTAGGGTCTACCTTACAATGTTAAGTGCCTTGAGGCGACTGTTGTTGTGAATTGGTGCTATATAAATAAAACTGAATTGAATTGAAAGTTTGTGGCATAACTAGTGACAGCATGAGAAAGCAACTGCTGTGTGACAGTGACCTAACTTTGAGCAAAGCAATTGAAATGTGCCAGATATTTGAGTAGACAGATCAACATACAAAAGCTCTAG